AGTGACTGTCTGATAGAGAGACATGGAGGGTATTCAGTAACACAAATAGCCAAGTTCTGAATGTAACAATCCATAGTAACCAATCAGATTTCCTCTCTCAGTCACCTGACAGCTATAAAGTGAAATCAGATTGGTTGCCATGGTTTACTGCACTTAATAATAAAAGGAATAGACAATTTTCCTTTACACAGCACTGCATATATTCAGCCTAGACTGACGTCATCATGGGAGAGGAAATACAAATCCCAACACATATTTCCAGGACATCACCTGCAGGAATGCTATGAGGATCAGTGTGATCACCCAGCAAACTATCAGACTGAGAAGATTTCCAAACATATGCTGACTGCACTACCTGTACAGCCAATGAATCACAATTAGGGTGGCCCTATACAACCGATCTGACAGGGGCCCTCTTGGGCACCCAGAGGAGAAGAAAAAGGCAGCAAGTATAATGACAACTGTAGCAAATTAGCTCATCAGAGTTGGACGCGAAGTTCCCCTTTTTCTTTTCTTTGTATTGGAAGTATTCCTCACACTCCCTTCCCCCTCCCTTCCTGAGAGGCAAAGGTTATCTCCTGACAGATGGGGGGTCAACCCAAGTTAAGGTATCCTCCGTAAGGTGCCAGGCAGTCTGCGAAAGTGTAACCTTCTCACCTATGTCCTGATAAGGCCAGCATTCCTCAAAGAATTGGGAAGCACTGACCCAAAACTGTGTAGGCCCACACATCATAAAACTGACCAGCAGTTAATTGAACATTCCTCAGGTCAACTGTATGTTTCATATCATGGAGTATGAAGCTGTTAATTTTAAACTGAGAGTCCACTGACATCCTGCCCAAAATATTGTATTGGGCAGACTCAAAGCCACCCCCCCCCCCCCCCCTTGCAGGGGGATTTTAAAAAGGACAGGCTGCAAGCCTGGAAGCTAAGAAACACACATCTCCTAAGCTTAACATCGAACGAGGAGATCAAAGAACCATCCTGCTCTGCAACTTGGATCTGCTACCAAGGCATGCTGGCAAGTAACCTAACCCTGTAACTTCCTTCCTATTATCTCTTTGCTGTATCTTTATATACATATATATATATATTTTCGTGACATCTCTTTGAAAATATTTTATTGCACCTGTTTGACTCTTTTAGTAATAAATCTTTCTTTCTAAAAGTGTTAAACTGTTTTTAAGCGCTTACCTGCAATTCATGAATTCCTGCCTTTTGAAGAGACGCTACTGTGTTTGTTTAATTCTCTGCCCAATTGGCCTGCGGGGTCCGCATTGGACAGGCGACTTTTCAATCATTATAGTGTATATTTGATAACAGGAGTTTCCCAGTCTCCTTTTTTTTTAAAAAAAAGTGGTGGTGGCAGTGTGAAAGGGTTAGTTGTGTAATTAACCCGACCCAGTAACAAGCGCATTCAGGCTGCACGCACAGATTGTAGCCCATTTGCTGGACAATCGCTGTGCAGGGTGCAGCTGGGTGTGGCCTTGTTACGCGCGTCACACCATGGTTTTAGATCGGCCGGTCCTTCGGTCACGAGTTTGGTGAGAAGGTCTGGGGTCTGACGCAGCGATCGTGACGTATTACTGTTGGTCGCGGTCGTGCGATTGTCGCATGTTGGTGTTGGCGATCGTGACAACAACCAGGTAGCATCCATAGTGCAGGGGTCAGGAGTATATCATGTACACAGAGCACACCATGGGATCTAGGCTGCCCAGGCTTTGGGTAAAACAAGGGAGAAGTTTTTTTATTCTCAGCAAATTATTTTTTTTCACTTCCGTTATAATCTCAGCCAATGATTGTTATTGTTAAAATTGGGTAAAGAGTCTGGAATGACTACAGATGGGAGGTTTTATTTCACAATTTACAATCCTGCTGTGTCCTTATTGGAGAGATTTCTCTGCATCTGTGAAGGCAAAACTCTCCGGGTCAGTTCACACCATAGAAAATGCAGTCCCAATGCGTTCTGGATGCGTTTCTGTCTGCGCATTTTTGGTGCGTTTTGGATGCGTTTCTGCATGAGCATTTTTTTTGCGTTTTTGACGCATTCCCGCTCATTTTTCCCCCTCTCTTTTTCTTCAATTTAACCACCTCCCGCCCGCCATATAGTAATATGACGGGCACAAGGTGGTTCTCTCGTTCTGGGAGGACATCATATGACGTCCTCCCATTCTCACTGCGCATGCACGGCTCAGGGAGCGCGCAGCACGGCGATCGGCGGTCACGGAAAGAGCCGAAGATGTCGGCTCGGTCATGTGATCAGCTGTGTCCAATCACAGCTGATCACATGTAAACAGGGAAATGCCGGTTATTGGCATTTCTCTCCTCTCGAGCTGTCACGCTGACAGAGGAGAGGACAGCCGGTAATCGGCTTTCTGCGGAGGGGACATGTACACTGATCATCAGGGCACTGATGATCAGTGTAGCCCTGATGATCAGTGTAGCCCCAGCTGTGCCACCTGTCAGTGTCCATTAGTGCCTTATGTCAGTGCTCATCAGTGCCTCGTGCCAGTACCCATCAGTGCCACATATCAGTGCCTACCAGTGCACATCAATGCCACATAGCAGTGCCCATCTGAGCTGCCTTTCAGTGTCACCCATCAGTGCCAGTCAGTGCCACCTATCAGTGCCAATCAGTGCCGCCTATCAGTGCCAGTCAGTGCCGCCTATCAGTGCCAGTCAGTGCCGCCTATCAGTGCCAGTCAGTGCCGCCTATCAGTGCCAGTCAGTGCCGCCTATCAGTGCCAGTCAGTGCCGCCTATCAGTGCTGCCAGTCAGTGCCACCTATCAGTGCTACCTTTCAGTGCCCTTCACTGATGCCTGTCAATGCCCATCAGTGCCACCTACCAGTGCCTCCTCATCAGTGTCCATCAGTGCAGCCTCATAAGCGCACATCAGTGAAGGAGAAAAATCACTTATTTACAAAATTTTATAACAAAAGCTAAGAAAAAACATTTTTTTTCAAAATTTTCAGTGGTTTTTGGTTTAAGAAAAAATAAAAAACCCCGAGGTGATTAAATACCACCAAAATTTTGCTCTGTCACAAATGATAAAAATTTCATATGGGTACAGTGTTGCATGACCGCGCAATTGTCATTCAAAGTGTGACAGCACTGAAAGCTGGAAATTGGCCTGGACAGGAAGGGGGTGAAAGTGCCCTGTAGGCAAGTGGTTAAAATAGGGACATGTGCGTTCAAGTGCGTTTTTTTATGTGTTTCGGTGCGTTCCGGTACATTTTTACCGCGTACCAGTTCTGTGCAGAAAAAATGCAGCATGTTCTACTTTTTTTCTGCAACTGGAACTGCAAGCACTGATGTAAACTATGACATCGAAAGCCATATAACCTACTTTCTGTGCATTTTGGATGGAGGAAAAAAAGCAACTGAAACGCATGGAGTGTGAACCGGCCCTCCAACAGGGACCCAGGAAGCAACAGAGGTCTGACAGATGATCGATCCATTAAAGTGACACTAAACTGTATCTTTTTCTCCAAAAATAATCCATTTACATCCACTACTTAAAAGTCCTGTAATCTATTTGTCATGATTTTTTTTCTGTTATTTTCTTCCTCTGTATAATGTCCTCTGTGAGCTCCCACACCTCTCCTTTTCCTCCTCACTTCCATTTCATGTTTGGAATGAGCAGTGCATGTTAGTGGCAGTCATGTACACTGCTCTCTGCACACTACAACTTCCATTGTCCATAGTCCCTAGTTCATCTTAGTACAAGCAAGGCTGGGTAGTCCCTACATCCAGTGGGACCATAGATAATAAACATGGCTACCCTCTAACGGGAAGTTGGATCACAGCAGCAAAAAAAGGAAACTGAAGATTGGAGGAGGCTGAAAGCAAGAGAATGGACTTTTCTGAGGGCCGGTTCACACTATAGAAATGCAGTCCAAATGCGTTCCAGATGCATGTTTTTGATGCTTTCTGGCTCATTTTTTCCCTCTCTTTTCCTTCAATCTACATAGGGACATGTGCGTTCCAGTGCAATTTTGGTGGGTCCCGCTGCGACTGCAGACAGACTGACCGCTCTAAACATTAGTAGTGCTCGGTGCACCATCCAGCAGCTGTCAGAATCCTATAGAGTTGTACAGGCGGCCAGCAATGGGGCTGAATGGTGCACCAGTGCCTTCTGTCTGTACCTATATGCTGGAGTGTCATGCCCCCCCCCCCGGATACATGCCCAGTGTACATGAGGCCTACACTGCCCCCTGCCAGGCAGAATAGTCTATGTAAGTGTCGGCAGCAAAGACCTTCCCCGCAGTAACTGTGAGGTCAATGAGGGGGGGCAGCCTAGGCTCAGGATTATTCCTGGCACACCCCTAGAACATTGCCACATCACAGATCAATATTCTGTATACAAGACAAAGCTGGAGTTCCTGCTATTCACTGCTGGGTGCAAGTAAGACGATGACAAGTCCGAGCTTTACTTGCTGCACTCCTCTGATCACTCAGCCAGCACCGAAGCCTGTGGATGTACATGACAGCCAAGCAACCAGAGTCCTCAGAAGAAATGCCAGTAATGGCAAAGGTGCAATTCGTACCGAGTACACGGGGGGGGGGATTTACTAAAACTGGAGCACTCAGAATCTGGTGCAGCTGTGCATGGGAGCCAATCAGCTTATAACTTCAGCTTGTTTAATTAAGCTTTGACACTACAACCTGAAAGCTGATTGGTTTCTATGCAGAGATCAGGGTGGATAAAAATCAATGATTTAAAGAAAAAAAAAAAAAAAAGAAAAAAAAAAAAAAAAAAAAAAAAAAAAAAAAAAATCGGATTTTTTTAAATAAAATGCTTTTTGAGGAAAATATATTACCATCCAAAGGTTATTCCATTTATCATGAAATAAAGATTAGTTTTTTAATTATGTAGAATAAGGCTGTATATGTTAATTTTTTGGTAAATAAATTATATATACCGTATTTTTCGCTCCATAAGACGCACCTAGGTTTTAGAGGCAGAAAACAGGAAAATAAATATTCGGAACCAATGGACTGCGGACACAGTACAGGAAATGACCAGAGACTGCAGACAGTACAGGGATGAGAAGAGACTGCGGACAGTACAGGAGATGACTGCTGACCTTTGGGGGGGGGGGGGGGGGGGGGAGCGGGTACCTGAATTTGACAGGTACCCGCTCTTACTTCCGCAGAGTTGTTCTTTAATTAGTGTCTGCTCTGCAGCGGGACCTTACCTGTTCCTCTATCCATCCGCGCGCTGTCTTCCCGGCTTCTGTAGTGTCGGCGCTCGGCTTAATAGCCGGTTGCCCAGTGCACATGAGCGAGAAGCGCTGAACTTTGTGATTGGTCCGGCGGCTTCTGGGATCTGTCATGTGTCCCAGGTGCCACCTTACCATTCACAAAGAGCACCGCTTCTTGCGCATGCGCACTTGGCACCCGGCTGTCAAGCCGAGCGCCCACACTACAGAAGCCGGGAAGACAGCGCACGGATGGATAGAGGAACAGGTAAGGTCCCGCTGCAGAGCTGAGCGGCCGGCCCGGTATTCTGAAACGGCGGAGGTGGAAATACCGGACCAGCCACTCTATATTCGCTCCATAAGACGCACTGACATTTCCCCCCCTTTTTTGGGGGGTAAAAAGTGCGTCTTATGGAGCGTAAAATACGGTATTTTGTTAAGCCAAATTAGTTAACAAACATGGATGTTTAAGCAAATCACAGATGCTGGAATGTTATTGTTTCAGTTGAATAAATCTATTTAAATTGTTATTATTAAGGTAATGATTATTTTTCTCCTTCCTAAGTACAAACAGAAAAGTTGTCCAAATATGAATGATTAACCTATTAAACTGGGGATAAAAAAACTAATATGAAAAGTTGTTATTCTAAAAATCTTCATCTACTTGTATATTAAAGTTATACCAGCAAGAATTAGTCTTTATGTAGAAAACTAGGATTTATATCAAGCCTTACTGACTAGTGATTTAAATCAAATCCACCCTGGCAGAGATCCACCAGATTTTGCACGTTCCAGTTTTAGTAAATCCCCCCCCCCCCCCTGTACTCAGCATTCCTAACCTTCTGCACATGCAGCCCTGCTGCCTAACTCAGCCCCTCCAGAGAGGAGACTCTTTAACCCCTCGCCCTCCAGAGGATTTCCCCCCTTCCTGACCAGGTCATTTCTTGCGATACGGCGCTGCGTTACTTTAACTGACTTTAATGGTCATATAATAAATCAAAATCCACACAAATACTCAAACCAAATTATGTACAAAGCAGCAAACACACCAAGAGGAAATCCTCTCTAAATCACAAACACAAATAAATCTCTAGTGTTGCGCTAAATAAAAAACAAAATACAGAAATAATACAGAAATAGTGTACAATTATTACATAACCAATGATAAACAGGGAAAAAAGTGCTCAATGGTGAACCAATGCCAGAAGTTGTGGTGTGAATAGGGCTGACATATGTGTAACAGTCCCTAGAGGGTCTATAGAACAGTCCTCTTGTTTTGTGATGAATAGCCAAAAATCTTCATTCCAATATAACCACCAATGTGAGTCCTGCACCACCGTGATGACAGATTGGGGGCTTACCAGATCCTTTGACCCCTTAACTATAGGGGGGTCAACAAACGCCTGTTCTGAATACTTCCATCCAGACTGTCACCACATGTATCATCAAAGACTCCTCAGACCGTCCCGATCTCGTAGGGTTGACATGAACTCATAAAAATAAAAAAAGGCGCCTCTCATAGTGCAGATAACTTAGAAGACCATTTATTGAACAAAACGAACCGAACTTACAAGCATCATGAACTTTATAGCGATCATAAAATCCTCAAACAGCAAGGAACGGTAAAAAGTCAATTACTACGCGATGACGTCAGATGACATCACAAGGGAGGCTCTACCTGACGCATTTCTAAAAACTAATCTAAATAGTTCTGGTCATTGGCATAACAGGTGGATAAGGTCACTTGGGGGAAGCCCACATTTACAGCAATTAGGGGAGTCATGTATACCTATCCTGTGGAGGAATTCCAGGGGGCTGATAAGCCATGTGGACTATTACAAATCATGACACGGACTATTTCTCCGTAGAGACGAGGAGCTCCAACTATTCCATCTATGCAGAGTTCAGTTCTATGACACTGTGCCGTGTTCTCTGTATACTTGTACCTAGTTGGCTATTCCTTGTGCCTTACTCAGTCCTCTGTCTTATCAAATGTTTGTAACTCTTTTTTCTCTTCTACTAAAACAATAAAAATGATGGAAAGTAAAAGTTGTGGCAATTTGTGACAAAGAGACAAAGAAATGCTAGTTTGGAGCCATAAAACGTCCCTCCATTATTCCCCCAGGTCTGACCCCCACCGGGCTCTAGAGAATGATAGAAGAGAACCCAACAAAAGGTGTAATGGATTGAGGTATTGGGAGGACATTACCAGACCCTTCATACAGTCAGACCGAAGCGGGCCGTCCAACACACCGAGATCCACAAATGTCAGATATGGAGAGATACATTACACCTGAAGTGCACGGCACCATTACAGGCACCGCACAAAGGTCTGATTAATCAGCAAGAAGTCAGATTGCCGTCCTAATGGATTTCAGACATTTCCCAATATGGCTGTGAAAAGGTGGAGAACCCCAACATTCTCCAGGAGTGAGACCCTGAAATTTGGTTAATTCTGTAAGGAAGTCATGAGTCCAAATGGTGGCAAACCTTGTATTAAAGAGGATCTTCACTCTCCAATCAACATTGATTATATTTCATCTTTATGCTGCCAGCATTAGTAAATAGATAGGAAGGTACCGTATTTTTCACCGTATAAGACGCACCTGACCATAAGACGCACCTGACCATAAGACGCACCTAGGTTTTAGAGGCAGAAAACAGGAAAAAAAAAATTCTGAACTAATGGACTGCAGACACAGTACAGGAGATGACTAGAGACTGCGGACAGCACAGGGATGACCAGAGACTGCGGACAGCACAGGGATGACCAGAGACTGCGGACAGCACAGGGATGACCAGAGACTGCGGACAGCACAGGGATGACCAGAGACTGCGGACAGCACAGGGATGACCAGAGACTGCGGACAGCACAGGGATGACCAGAGACTGCGGACAGCACAGGGATGACCAGAGACTGCGGACAGTACAGAAGACTGCTGACCTTTGGGGAGGTGGGGAGCGGGTACCTGAATTTGACAGGTACCCGCTCTTATTTCCGCAGAGTTTTTGTTTGATCTTACCTGTTCCTCGATCCAGCCACGCGCTGTCTTCCCGGCTTCTGTAATGGCACTCGGCATGACAGCCGGGTGCCCAGTGTACATGAGCGAGAAGCACTTGCGCTTTGTGATTGGTCCGGCAGCTTCTGGGATCTGTCATGTGTCCCAGGTACCGCCTTACCATTCACAAAAAGCACCGCTTCTTGCGCATGTGCACTTGGCACCCGGCTGTCATGCCCAGTGCCCACACTACAGAAGCCGGGAAGACAGCACGCCGCTGGATAGAGGAACAGGTAAGGTCCCACTGCAGAGCTGAGCGGCCGGCCCGGTATTCTGACATGGCCGCGGTGGAAATACCGGACCGGCCTCTCCATATTCGCCTTATAAGACGCACTGACATTTCCCCCCCAGTTTTGGGGAAGAAAAAGTGTGTCTTATACGGCGAAAAATACGGTAAATCATATTTACTCCTTGTAAACTTTTTTAATTTCTTCAGTTACTTCCTGGTTTCCATGCCTAGGCAAATTATGTCATACATCCCAGGAGTCTTTAGGAGGGGAGGGGAGGAGAGGAGGAGTTTTTTCAGCTAAGCACCCTATACATGCCTGAGCTAAGGGTAGATGGATTTCAGGAAGTATATGCTACATGAATTATTTGCCCTTACTCAAAATGGCCACAGCCAGAAATGCCTGGGGGAGAGGGGGTTCTAAGTGATTTCTCACCAAAATAAAGCATGAAGACATGGAGGGATGGGGGAGCTTGCTCTGAATAATAAAAATGAATGAAATATTGTGTTTGGTTTGGGTGCTCAGATGCCGTGCAGATCCACTATTGTCACCATCCAATCCAACAACATTACCTCTTTATTAGCAATAAAAACTGACAGGGGTTCTAACCCTTCCCCACTGTATCCATCCCCCTGGATATCACGTCCTGAGATAAATGCTGCACGCCGTGTTTTAGTATTGGGGGGTTTTGTGAATTGCAAAAAAATATGAGAAAAACTCTACGAGATATTTTATATCAAATTGTAAAGCAGAAAATACGGCTTTGTGAGGATTCCGGCTGAGCGGTAGAATGCTGAGCGAGCGTGTGATATGTCTAGAGCAGTGGTACTTAACCTTGTTGGAGGTACTGAACCCCACCAGTTTCATATGCGCATTCACCGAACCCTTCTTAATTGGAAAAATAAAATATGATTTTTAAAATTCAAAACATAGGTATATATTTATACATAGGTGCACAAAATGAACAAAACCGTTAAGAACAAAACCATTAAAACATGATTTTCACACAAAAACATAATAATGAATATTTACTGCACGAATCATATGAGTCGGGTGTGGGTCTTCACCTCTGCCGAACCCGCGAGACTGACTCACTGAACCCCTGGGGTTCGATCGAACCCAGGTTAAGAACCACTGTTTTATAGTAATTCATCCCCCATAGTAATTCATCCCCCATATAGTAATACATCCCCCATATAGTAATACATCCCCCATAGTAATTCATCATCCATATAGTAATTCATCCCCCATATAGTAATTCATCCCCCCTATAGTAATACATCCCCCATAGTAATTCATCCCCCATATAGTAATTCATCCCCCATATAGTAATACATCCCCCATATAGTAATTCATCATCCATATAGTAATTCATCCCCCATATAGTAATTCATCCCCCCTATAGTAATTCATCATCCATATAGTAATTCATCCCCCATATAGTAATTCATCCCCCATATAGTAATTCATCCCCCATAGTAATTCATCCCTCATATAGTAATTCATCCCCCATATAGTAATTCATCCCCCATATAGTAATTCATCCCCCATATAGTAATTCATCCCCCCTATAGTAATTCATCCCCCCATATAGTAATTCATCCCCCATATAAATTCATCCCCCATATAGTAATTCATCCCCCATATAGTACTTCATCCCTATAGTAATTCATCCCCCCTATAGTAATTCATCCCCCATAGTAATTCATCCCCCATATTAATTCATCCCCCATATTAATTCATCCCTTATATAGTAGTAGTAAGTAAGTAGCAAGTAGTAAGCCAAGTCCCCCCTGTGTCAATTCACTTACCTTTGCTCCGCGCGTTCCTCTCGCCGTATTCCCGCGCCGCTCCGGTCTTCAGGGCGGACTGTGAGAGGAGCCTAGCTCCTCTCACGTTCGTCACGCTGGCCCGCCTACACACATCCTGACAGCCAATCACTGGCTATCAGGATGTGAGTGGCAGCGAGACTGGCCAATCATTGCATTTGAGCGCGCTGCCCTGGCTGTTTTTTTTTTTTTGGATCACGCTGCAGAGTCCCTGCCGCCCGAGAGGAGGGAGGGGAGCGGGCGCCCGGCACACAAAAGCCGCATTAAAGCGTGTAAAGAGCCGCATGTGGCTCGCGAGCCGCGGCTTGCCGACCACTGGGCTAAGCGATGTTGCGTGACCACCTGCAGCCAATGATGGACAAGTGGGGCATGTCATCACGAATCATATGAGTCGGGTGTGGGTCTTCACCTCCGCCGAACCCGCGAGACTGACTCACCGAACCCCTGGGGTTCGATCGAACCCAGGTTAAGAACCACTGGTCTAGAGGAAAACTGCAGCATTTCCTGGTAGAGCATACAGCTGGTCATAGAGGGGGGGCTGTACACCCCTGTACATTTATATCTGTACAGGTGTGACATCACCACTCCCCATATACAGGAGATATCCGTACAGGTGTGACATCACCACTCTCCATATACAGGAGATATCAGTACAGGTGTGACATCACCACTCTCCATATACAGGAGATATCCGTACAGGTGTGACATCACCACTCTCCATATACAGGAGTATCCGTACAGGTGTGACATCACCACTCTCCATATACAGGAGATATCTGTACAGGTGTGACATCACCACTCTCCATATACAGGAGATATCCGTACAGGTGTGACATCACCACTCTCCATATACAGGAGATATCCGTACAGGTGTGACATCACCACTCCCCATATACAGGAGATATCCGTACAGGTGTGACATCACCACTCCCCATATACAGGAGATATCCGTACAGGTGTGACATCACCACTCCCCATATACAGGAGTCCGTACAGGTGTGACATCACCATTCTCCCATATACAGGAGATATCCGTACAGGTGTGACATCACTACTCCCCATATACAGGAGATATCCGTACAGGTGTGACATCACTAATATATAACGTTGTCTCTCCTAATATCAGGAAATATATGACATCATAATTATAAATAACAGCCCCTCCCCCCCAGACTCACCCCATACACCCCGGAGACCCCGATAATAATCAGGATGAGGGGGATCATCTTCTTCCTCCTCACAGAGACCCCAAAACTCAGCTCCGTCCACCGCACATAGCGCGGGGAGTCACACGGTGAGTCAGGACTCTTGTACAGGAGGGCGGAACTGTGTGCTGATTGGATGATTTTGGCTCTCTGACCAATAGGAAAATGAATTCAGAGCTGATCACCAGTTGCCGGGTAGAGGGAGTGTGCTCAGGATGGCTCAATGCAATGTATAGAAGGGGAAAGTGAAAGAGAAATGTGATGTTCACAAATGTCCAATCTCCTCCCACCAGAGGGCCACCGCCCCGCCCACTGACACCGCCCCGCCCACTGACACCACAATATCACTGATGGGCACTGATAGGCTACACTGATGGGAAATCATGAGGAGGCACTGATATGTGGCACTGATTGGCATTGAGAGGCTGCACTGATGAGGAGGCACTGATATGCAGCACTGATGGGCACTGATAGGTGGCACTGACAGGCATCACTGAGGAGGCACTGAAAACCAGCACAGATGGGCACTGAAAGAAGACCAGCGCACCATCACTCTGATGGGCACTAATGAGGCTGCACTGATGGGCACTGATAGGCTGCTCTAATGGCAAAGTTGGCAACATTTCCAAAAAAATTTTTAGGGACACTTTTTTTCCCTGTACAGTGGGGCAAACAAGTATTTAGTCAGCCACCAATTGTGCAAGTTCTCTCATTTAAAAAGATGAGAGAGGCCTGTAATTGGCATCATAGGTAGACCTCAACTATGAGAGACAAAATGAGAAAACAAATCCAGACAATCACATTGGCTGATTTGGAAAGAATTTGTTTGCAAATTATGGTGGAAAATAAGTATTTGGTCAATATCAAAAGTTCATCTCAATACTTTGTTATATATCCTTTGTTGGCAATGACAGAGGTCAAACGTTTCCTGTAAGTCTTCACAAGGTTGGCACACACTGTTGCTGGTATGTTGGCCCATCCTCCATGCAGATCTCCTCTAGAGCAGTGAGGTTTTGGGGCTGTCGCTGGGCAACACGGACTTTCAACTCCCTCCAAAAGTTTTCTATGGGGTTGAGATCTGGAGACTGGCTAGGCCACTCCAGGACCTTGAAATGCTTCTTACGAAGCCACTCCTTCGTTGCCCGGGTGGTATGTTTGGGATCATTGTCATGTTGGAAGACCCAGCCACGTTTCATCTTCAATGCCCTTGCTAATGGAAGGAGGTTTGCACTCAACATCTCACGATACATGGCCCCATTCATTCTGTCCTGTACATGGATCAGTCGTCCTGGTCCCTTTGCAGAGAAACAGCCCCAAAGCATGATGTTGCCACCCCCATGCTTCACAGTAGGTATGGTGTTCTTTGGATGCAACTCAGCATTCTCTCTCCTCCAAACACGACGAGTTGTGTTTCTACCAAACAGTTCTATTTTGGTTTCATCTGACCATATGACATTCTCCCAATCCTCTTCTGGATCATCCAAATGCTCTCTAGCAAACTTCAGACGGGCCCGAACATATACTGGCTTAAGCAGGGGGACACGTCTGGCACTGCAGGATCTGAGTCCCTGGCGGTGTAGTGTGTTACTGATGGTAGCCTTTGTAGCGTTGGTCCCAGCTCTCT